CTGTCGACAAGTGTAACAGATTTTATTTACTATTAAATATTTTTAATATTTTAGTGACCTATGCTTTTAACAGTTTTGAGGAGGCAGGAGTGGGAAGCGACGCTTGCCTTTCCCCAAAAACTTCTCCTTTCGATGTCTCTCATCAGTTTCTTTTCACAATCTTCTTTCGTTTGATTGGTTCTTCATCAAATCCATATCTCTTTCTCTGTAAAATTCTCCTCAAAATCCGACCTAAAGGTCGTCTCTTTCGTTCTGAGTTTCTCTGGAATTGTAGCTAATTCGACAATTTGGGCATGTAATTCGCTCCAACAAAGTTTCAAATTCGAATTCGTCCAAATTAAGGTTTTTCTCCTTTGTATTTTGTCAAAGTTGAAGACTTTTTTCGTTTTGAATGTCTCCGCAAGTTGAATCTTCTCCTTTGAATCGCTTTTGCTTTACCCTCAATGTCTAAGCTTCCAAGCACATGTCTTTGACTAGCTTTTCTCGGTAAAGGATTTGCTTTTACTTTTTGTTTTAGCCTGGAACGAGAAAATGGGTTTAAATGATAAGATTGAGGGATCTAATGGTGGTTGTGAAGAACCTAGGGTTTCATGTCCTCCTGATAAGACTAAGATTAGTGAAGAGAAACCTAGGAGATTGTCGGAGAGTTCGTTGCCTGATGTGTCTAGTAGTATTAAGCCTTTGAAATTTGGTTCTGCTTCTGCTAAGTTCAAGAGAATGACAGAGGAAAGAGATGAGGTTTCACGGTCAGTGAACAGCTCAAGTAGTCACAATTTCCGGGAAAGAATCAGTGTGGTGTTTTCCCGGAAAATAGAGTGGGGTTGCTTGATGAGAATGGGTAAGGAATGGCTTAGAAACCCTTTTAACATGGCTCTTTTCTTGTGGATCTTTGTGGTTGCTGTCTCTGGTGCTATTCTATTCATGGTTATGACCGGTATGTTGAACAGTGTTTTGCTCAAGAAATCACAGAGAGATGTTTGGTTTGAAGTTAACAATCAAATCCTCAACGCGTTGTTTACTCTGATGTGTTTGTATCAACACCCGAAACGGTTTTACCACCTCGTGCTTCTTTTTAGATGGAAGCAAGAGGATGTTACAAAGCTTAGGAAGATATACTGCGAGAAGGGGACTTACAAGCCAAATGAATGGAAACACATGATGGTTGTTGTTCTTTTGCTTCACTTAAACTGTTTTGCTCAGTACGCGCTATGCGGTCTTAACTTAGGATACAGAAGATCCGAGAGACCTGCCATTGGTGTAGCTATATGCATATCTGTTGCGATAGCAGCTCCTGCGGTTGCAGGTTTGTACACTATCCTTAGTCCACTTGGGAAAGATTATGATCCTCAAGGAGACGAGGAGAATCAAGTGGAGGTTGTGGAAGAAGGATCGGTTAGTAGTAATCGCAAGTTATCTCTCGAGAGAAGATATTCGTTTGCTTCTACGGATGTGAGTAATCCTGAATGGAGCGGTGGAATTCTTGATATATGGGAAGACATATCATTGGCTTATCTCTCTCTGTTCTGCACTTTCTGTGTGTTTGGTTGGAACATGGAGAGGATTGGGTTTGGGAACATGTATGTTCACATTGCGACTTTTATTCTCTTCTGTTTGGCTCCTTTCTTTATATTCAACTTGGCTGCTATAAACATCGATAACGAGATGATAAGGGAAGGGCTTGGATATACCGGAATTGTGCTTTGTTTGTTTGGTTTGCTCTATGGTGGTTTTTGGAGAATACAGATGAGGAAAAGATTCAAGTTACCGAGTTATAACTTCTGTTGCGGAAGACCCTCTATTGCTGATTGTACACTATGGTTATTCTGTTGCTGGTGCTCTTTAGCTCAAGAAGTCCGGACTGCGAATTCTTATGAAATAGTGGAAGATAAATTCTGCAAAAGAAGAGAAGATTTGGCATCTCCATTGCCGCATGAAGACGGTGTGTTTGATCCGAGTAGCTCGCCTGAGAAGATGACCACGACGATGGCTAGTTCTTCTCTTAGCTCGAGCAGACCATTGGGAGATAAAAGTGATGAAGCTCTAAGTCCACCTTCTCCTCCATTCATACACAGAGAAGCTAAGCTAGTTAGTACTTAGATCTCAATGTAACTACCAGGAAACTCCTTGTGAAAGCATTATCTTATTTTTAAATACAGATCGAGAATTAATATAAGTCGGATTTCACAATTCCAAATAAAACTGATTTTTAATTGGTTTACATAGGTCAAAAAAATTGATCTTCTCATAACACAATTAATTAAACAAATGTTAAAGAAGCAAACAAATAATGTAGAAACCATGTAAGGTATTTATTGAGATAGAAAATGTTTTTTTTTTTTTTAAATTCTAGAAAAGAAAACTAATTAAAATTTGCTTCTCTGTCTAACCAAATATTGCAAACCCTATTCTTGTTGAATGGGAAAATCGATCGTGACTAGTGTCAGATTTGCAGAATTCGCCATAAGAGTCTCTTCCGAGAATCAAACCAGACGACCCCACAGACCAACTCCTCGGAACAAAGTCTTCGTCAAGAAGACGACCACCAGAGATTCAAACCTCGATTACTCCAATCTGGTTAAGCTGGAGAAGACGGGTTCGCACTCGGGTTCGAATCCCGCTCTTCCGGGTTCGGATCCAAATCGTGTTCCTCTTGCTCAGGTCGTCGAAGACTGCGTGAGACGGTGGTTTCAGGATACGCTCAAGGAGGCTAAATCCGGCGACGTTGGTATGCAGGTCCTGGTCGGACAGATGTATTGTAGCGGATATGGAATCCCCAAAGACGAACACAAGGTTCGATTTTTTTCTCGAGCTTTTCGAATCAATTTGGGATCAATTTTTGTGGGTTTAGGTTAGTTTTGGGATTCATTGGTTTTTGGTAGCTAATTTGGTTTAGGGATTTGATTTTCTTGTCTCTGTTATGTACATTGATTGGGTTTGGATTGTTTTGGTATCATTACAAAGATGTTTTCTTTGTGCTTAATTTAAGGTTTGGGTTTGTGGTTTTTGATTTGGAATCCTGTTTGATCTGTGAAAGGGTCGTGCTTGGATTAACAAAGCTTCAAGAACTAGATCATCAGCTTGGCAAGTTAGTGATAAGCCTCCAGGTAATAATAAATAAGAGATCTTTTCTTGCATTTCTGAAGAAATCTTTAGTAATGTTTAAGATTGTTGTTAATCTTTGGTATTTGTGTTCTTGTGATTCAGGTTATAACGCAAGCGATTCAGATTCGAACGATAAGAAAGAATGATTGACGATCTTTTGAATGTTTGTAATCCGGGTATTTGCCAGTGACTTTTTGATTTGTTAGTTTCTCTCTTCTCTGTTTAAATCTTCTTGCTATATTCAAACTTGAAGCTTTGTTGTCATTCCCAATGGTCGAAAAAATGGCTCAAGTGATGATCTTTGCCCATGTTATTACCACGCATTGAAATTTTTCTTTAACTATGGCTCAACTCACTATAGAAATCGAAAATTTTCTTGTCTGCAAAAGATTATCAGAGATGGATCATTTTCTTTGATAGCATTTGATTGGATCTATGATGTTTGTTTTCTTTCTCTAATTCCTTGTACTTTACATCGGACCTGGAAAGTGCGAAGTGTTACCATGTTTTGAAAACTCTGTTATATGTTTGCCATTTTTTATAAAAATGAACTTGCTTTATGCCATATGGTGGTGACATAAATGTCAATTGATTCAAATGAAACTGCATCAATTGATTCATTTGAATTGATATAATAACTCTACCAAAGGAAACGATGCTGTCCATTTTTACATCAATTGATTCATTTAAATTGATATATTCAGGATTTTCTTCAATTGTAAACAAAAAAAAAAGTTACAGGACTCTTAATATTCGAGATTTTTTACTCTACTGTATCTTCTATGCATGATCTCCATATGTAATTTCACATGAAAAGAACTGGTTCTTGATCGTAAGATAATCTTGCAAAACAAAAAAAAATTTGGTTCTAAATTCTAATCCGAATTCAATATTCGCGAGAAGTTGAATCGAATGTAGCCAACCAAATAGCCAATAGCATGATATTTTAGTCGTCAGTTAAAAAGATTTGGAAAAAGTGAATATTTAAAAAACATTAAACGGACGGTTGTAGAAAAATGAAAGGAAAAGGCAAAGACTTTGGTCACTATGAATCAAAACGCGGCTAAGTTAAAAACAGCTTTGTTTCAGTGGAGGCCAGTGAAAGCTTTTCTATATATAAATTCTCCATTCTTTACGCAAAGAATCCCATTCTTCTTCTCTTTCTTTGTCGTTTTACAACATAAAAATTATATATTTATATAAGTTGTTGATCCTTGTAGTTTCTTCTCCACAACAAAAACTTTCTTACGCTCATACTAGTCTCTTTTTCTCTCCCTCTCAGCAACATAAAGAGTCATTTTTACGAGGAATCGAGTGAAACGAAGTCGTTTTAATCCTCAAGAGTTTGCGTGATGGCTAATGTAAGTGAGATTTTCTACACCGGTTTGCTTTTAAGTTTCAAATTTGAGTCAGTAAAATCAAAAACTATAACTAAGATTGTATTTAAGTTTTATAAATGATATTGGTATATGAAATGGTTGCTACTGAACAAATGACATCATAAGATTTAACAATACCCACCGGTTAGAATTCAACACGTTGTGATATGCTCATTGGAATTGTGTTTTAACACTCGATCTACAGGTTGTGGAGCTGAAAGTGAATTTGCATTGCGATGAATGCATCCGGAAAATACTGAAAGCCATCAAGAAAATAGAAGGTAACATCAATTTTATAATCTTTCCCTTAAATATGTGATATGTTTGTTGTGGATTTTGGTTAATGGAAGAAGATGAAATTTACAGATATAGAGACATACGATGTGGACACACAGCTCAACAAAGTGATAGTCACTGGGAATGTAACAGATGAACAAGTCATTAGGGTTCTTCAAAAGGTCAGGAAAACTGCTGTTAAATGGGACCAAGACGATCAAACACTCTCCGCGAACTAGAGTCTCTTTTTGCTTTCCTCGGATTGATATATCTTCCTTTTAGTTAGAGGTCTATACGTAACGTATGTATGCTCAATTTTGGCCCTGCTAGATTTTATGCATTTGTTGCAGAATGAATGAGAATTGACTACAAAACTGTGCACGTAAATAAAATGCTATTTAGACCAACATGTCCTTCAACATTTGCATTTTCAATACAGAGATCAAACCTTCAGGGTGTTGTTATTCATGAAAGCAACAATTTATTCAACAAAAATGCGAGGAAGCAACTTTTCCGCTTCTATTTTGAGTGTTGCGAAAACAAACCGTCTCTCGGAAACATTCCGGGAACGGAAAAATGAAGAAAGAATTGGATTCTTGTAGAATCAGAATATCTCCATGCTTAGAACCTGTGCTCCAGCTTCTCTCGTTCCTGGTAGTATTGAGCATACCTGCGTTCATTTGCGAAAAATGACAGATTCAGAACATGACCATTGGAAACAAGAATAATGATTGAGAGTCTATAACCAAGAGTATCAACATTACAATATGCACATATCAATATTACAATATGCACATGACACAAGCAAAGTTTTTCCATGGAGAGTTCACCGAAGATGTTGGCTAATTTCTACGAGAGAGATGATAACCAAAAATAAAGCAACTAATCACAATTCAATCCCTTTAAACCAATCTCTGAGTTTCATGTAACTTTTTTGATTCACCACACAAAAACACATTTGTTTCAAGAAAAAGAGCATCATAAGCTAATAAACAACTCATAAGAAACATTCAAATTTTGTATGATTAAAACAATTGCTATTATCATCAATCATCCCTATTTGGCGGAATACTTGCTTTAGAGAATCGTATGATGTTGTCAAGCTAGCTACTTCTATCATTTTGACTCTTGTTGGAGTATTTGTTCAATGTCTCCTTAGAAACAGGACTAAAGAATCATCAATCGACACTAATTCCATGCGAATTCGTCACAAATCAATAACCCTAAAACCATTTCCATTTGTGCTGTTACAACCTAATCGAATCTACACATATCGCCTAACAATCAGATCGAAGCATATTACAAATCAATCATCAAATCCCGAATTTCCAAACGATCGATTCTTCGATTGATCTACCAATTGATAGAGAGAAGGAGACAGAAGCATACGAGTATGTTCCGATGACCGGAGCGAGGAGGAGAATAGTGCTGATCCAATTCTCAGAGACCTTGTGGTGAATCTTCTCCGGTAGATCCTTCCAGAGACCAGGCATAATCTTCTGCTGAAACGGCGACAAAGCGTACACCACCGCCTTCAATTTCACCGGCTGCTTTCCCATCTTCTTCTTCTTCCTTGAACCAATCTCTCCTTTTACAACAAAAACCAACAACGAAGAAGACCTTTCAAGCTATATGCAACGTCACCGTTTAGACTGAGTGAATTGTTCTTCTAAGTTCAAAATGGGCCTTGTATTAATGGGCTTATGATTCTTTTTTCCAATCAAATGAGCTTCTGATTTTGTTACAGTCCACGTGGACGGTCGCGATCAATAGATCATGACGTTAACACGGTAACAAACGGTTGCTTCGGAAGAAAATCAATTCACCGTAAATCATACGCGTCTTTAAATCCACGCGCCTTCTTCGTTCCCCCACGCGCAGCCGTGTGTGATGGCTAATCCACCAACGTTACCGATCTCAGATCAGCCCGGTGGTTCACAATCTCAGCAACAACAACAAACCGTCTCTACACCGGCGTTTCGCACTTTCCTCTCTCGTCTCTCGGCGTCGATCCGTCAAAGCTTATCGCAGCGACGGCCATGGTTAGAGCTCGTAGATCGGAGCGCGATTTCACGGCCTGAATCTCTCACCGATGCGTATTCACGGATTCGGAGGAATCTCCCTTACTTCAAGGTTAATTACGTGACGATCGTCTCTTTAGTG